CGGCGCTGGGTGGCGGCGGAGAGGATTTTCGCCTCCTCTCTGCTGCCCCCGGGCGGCGGTGGGGGTTTTTGAAGCAAAAATGGGCCGGCCCCGCCCCTGGGCCGAGGGGTGGGCGGGGATGATGGGAGCTGTAGCCCCTTGCCGTTATGGAGGGGGCTGGGTTTGCTAGGAAACGTATTTTAAATGTTTTATTTTTTTATATTTTTTTTTCATTCATTCATTCATTTGACTGTTGGGCACCCATCTCAGATGTTATCTCCATAGGCTTGCAGCTCCAGTGAGTTAAATTGCAGAGCCCAGGCGGAAGGCAGCAGCAACCAACTTTGTAGGATGATGGCTGAGAAAAGTTCATGGATGTGCCTGTGAAGTCGGCCTCCACTGGGTGAAAAAAGCTTTATTTTGCCTGAAGGCAAAGTCCAGGTGTACCTTACAGGGTTGTCATATGGGGGCATGTGCTTGTGCATGGAGACTGTACATTAATTATCTGGTTTTATGCCGTGAGGTCAAGAGTTGATTCGGAGTCTGGCTGCATCTAAGTCAAATTAATAATTATAATAAGTTGCAGGAAGAACCGGCTGATCAGTCCCGGACCAAATCAAGGCTAACTGCTCTCCTGGGGCCATGATCAGCAAGCCGAAACTCAAAACACTCTAGGCATGTGATACAGATGATGGATTATGGTGTTTCTCAACCTTGGGAACTTTAAGATGTATGGGCTTCAGTTCCCAGAATTCCCCAGCCAGTTCTGGGAGTTGAAGTCCACACATCTGACACTTGCCTAGGTTGAGAAACACTACATTAAATTATTATGCTTAGCAAGGCTGAGGGTGGTAAGGAAGGGGAAGGTGATGGGTAAGGAGGATGAAAGAGATTGCTGAAGAGTCCCAGGGCCAAGGGGCCATGAGGTATTATTAGGAACAAGTCAGGAGGGTGAATATTTCATCCTGGATGTATCTGATACCAAAATCAGCTTGGCAGCCATCTAACTTTATTGTGTGAAGATGGGAAGCTGAAATACATTGCTGGTGAAGGCAATAGCAAACTATACCCTTATTGCTGCAGAAAAAAAAAAGTCTTGCTGAACTGGAAGGCATGTCTCTCTTTTTTTTTCTCTGCCTACACATGCACGCAGACAACGTACACTGTATATGACAATCCTGTACAGTAGAGATAACATTAAAGCAAACTTTTTGACCCCAATTTAGCGACCTCCAGAGATGCAGGGGACTGCTGTTCCCATCTTTTTGACCTTGGACGGTTTTGTTGACTGATCTCTCTGTTTCTGATTTGGCAGGGTTTGTCCTCGGGGGTGCCTTTGGCGTGTTCACAGCTGGCATCGATACCAATGTGGGATTTGACCCTAAGGATCCCTACCGCACGCCAACAGCCAGAGAAGTCCTGAAAGATATGGGGCAAAGGGGAATGTCATACGCCAAAAACTTTGCCATTGTGGGTGCCATGTTCTCCTGCACTGAATGCCTGGTGGAATCTGTGAGTAACTTGCTTGTTTGACCTATTGGGTTCTTGTTTTGGTTCCCTTAAAGAGGAGGAAGGGTGGCAGTAATGGATAGCTGCCTCCATCCTTCTGTGTCCTTGTAGCCAGAGCTGCCCACATCCTGCTTTTAGAGCTCTTCTCTTCACTAGCACCGCCTGATTTTTGTTTGAGGCTAGAAGGTAGGAATGCTCCATAATACAATACATTGATTTTTTTAATGGACGAACCATATATGGGGTTTCTGAGAGACTCACAAAGCAAATACGGTCATTAAGATATCATATACTTGGGACCTGTTGACCTTAAAAAGAATATCTCAGTCTCCAGCCTTTTAAAAGTTCAGAGCTCCTGTGTAGCTTTATCAGCTAGAGATGGGCGTAGTCTGTGGTGCCACAGATCCCATACAGTGAGCCTCATTATCATTTTTTTCACTGATTGTTTTTATATTATTAGCATAAATTGCTGCAATGAGAAGAAGCCCTTTACAACCATTTTAATAACCAATGTAATATGCATTGTTATTAAAAGCATCCTTGTGGCCCCTCCTTATTTCATCCCTCTGGATTTATTTCCTCTTTCCCGTGCCATTCAGAAATCCAGAGTCTTTCCCCAAGCTAATCTTTGCTTCCCCCGCATTCCCGTGGGAAATGTTCTAGCACCTCTAGAGAACACCAGGTTGGGGCAAGCTCTGAAAGCAGCCCAACTTTTTAGAAGAGATGTTAGACGTGGAGGTGCCTGTGGGTGGCCTTGATAAGCTGTTTCTCGCTTCTGTAGTACCGAGGCAAATCTGACTGGAAGAACAGTGTCACAAGCGGATGCATTACTGGCGGGGCCATTGGTTTTAGAGGTGAGTGTTGCCTTCCAGCAATTGGAGAGGCTCCTGGAGCACATTCCACGGTGGAGCTGGGGCCCAGCCATTCCTCTGAGAGGAAGCTGTACCTGGCATACAGCTGCAGCTGCTTCTGGCTGAAGGCAGAGGGAGGGAGACCGCTCTGCTCGTCTCAGCCTGCCAGAACGTGGGCAGCATGCCACTGATTCTGGGAGTTGCAGTTCAGGCACATCCAGAGGATGCCAAGGTGGAAGAAATCAGTTTAATATTATGCAGGGTTCAAACGGGGCTAGTGCCTCGTTGGCAGTGGAAATCTTTATTTATTAATTTTTTTTTTAAAGAGTGCTGGGCCAACAGGGATGTTTGGTTTTTAAAATACCAAGCGCTAATCTTCCCTAAGCATATTAAATGACTCTCCGAGTAAGCTGTTTATGTTGAACCAGATTGGTTTAAAGTTCTTTGGGAAAACCGCAGTGGTTTTTGAGCCCATTCCCGTCTTTCCTCAAAGAGCTGTTGCTTCCAGTTCTGCTGGGTATACCCTCCCCTAGTAGGGTTTATAAATCGTGAGGAACCAAGCAAAGGAGCAAACATAATTCATGATGTATTGTGATGCATGAATCCAGCCTATCGTTCAAAGTAATGGAATCTTGTAGAAGGCATTCAGATTAAACTCGTTCGTTTTAGTGAAGAATGTTCTCTAGGATAACAATTCAGACTTAGTTAAAGAAAAAACCTTGACTGCAGACTTCAAGAGTCTGGACAGTGCCCTCCCATGGATGATTTAATTGGTTTTCCTGTGATCCTTGTGGCCCCTTCCAACCCTACAGTTTGGCGATCCTACGTTGTGCTGGCAAGGCCCAGGAGGAGATCCTTTTCTGCTGTGGCACCCCCTTTTGGAACATCATTCTCCCGACATAGGTTGGCCCTGTCCCTGTTGGCCTTTCATAAGGCCTTGAAAACTTGGTTCTGTGCCTGAGCCCGGATCCCAGGCATGGGATAGAGCCCATCTCCTGGCTGTGTGAACGACTGGCTAGATAGTGCCTGGCTGCTGTGTTTTATTTGATATTGTGTATTTTACGTATCTTATTGTAAGCTGCCTAGAGTCACATAAAAGTGAGATGGGTGGCTCTATAAATCGAATGAATAAATAATAAATATGTGAATAAGAGCCTCCTCCCTGTTTCCTTGCAGCTGGCCTCAAAGCAGGGGTCCTTGGCTGTGGGGGCTTTGCTGCATTCTCTGCGGTGATTGACTATTATTTACGGTAGCAGCTGGGGCCAACAACCAAGGACTTTCCGATGTCAGCTGTGGAGGACAGCAGGCCCAGTTGGCTTCTTGGGCACCCAGTGCTGACAGAAAGAGGTGGTGTTTCTGAGCCATGTCCTGGAAGAAGGTGGATACCGACCCCGTCTGTGAGAATTCGAAGTCAGCCATTGTAGTGGAAGAACCACAGAGGATCCCGATGTATTCTCTCGAGATCTTCTGCTAAGATCAATGAATTGAACTGCTATTACATGATAACAGCATTTACTACCAAGAGAGAATTATAGTTCTGCTGCTGCGTTTGGATTAGGAAGAATGGAAATGCTGAATTTTTCCAGACACTGTAAAGAGATATCTACTAATAAAATGGGAACAATCTTTCAAAGTTTTAAGAGTTTTTGTAGCTAGTAGTTCATGACTGAAGATCAGATGCCAGCCAGGTGCCTTTGACAGTGGTGAATGATCCAAAGCCAGCAGTCTCAATAGGGGCAGGAGCCCAAAAAGGCAAGATGGAGGATGTGACATGATGCAAGCCCTTCCTAGCCCTGCTCTGCCCTGCCCTTTTTTGGAATGTGACGTACGCAGTTACAAAAGGGATGGGGCTTGTTTCATGATGTTGTTCCAGCATCTTACCTTTTTGACTCTCCCCACAGACCCTGCTGCCTGTAGCTATTAGGGGTGAGACGTAAATGGAACTTGTTTACTCCTAGGCAGTATCCACTTTGGATTACCAGCAGAGGAGAGCTAATGCTTCTGCTACTGGGCTCTGAAGTTCAGAGAGAGACCTTTGGAGTCCACTGGATTCTTTGCTGTCCTCTCGGCTGCAAGTAGCCCACAGCTGGTAAGGTAGCCAGGGAGGAGGTTCCAGCTTTGCACATTTGAACTTCCCCAACTTGCATTCTCGGGACAAAGTTGGGGGAGAAGGGGGCATCCTTAGGAACTGGCAGTCCCTCCCCCACCCCCCTGCCAGCAGCTCAACATTGAACTGCCTGGTTCAAAACCTAGGAGGGCAAAAATGGCTTCTTTTTTCTCCTGAAATTGCACATGTAAGCCACATTTCTGTGTGGAAAAAGCATCAGATGCCACATCTGGGATGTACAGAAAAGGCATCAGGCTATGGTCAGGATCACACCGCCTGCAACTTGCAGAAAACGTATCATATCCTTCTGCCAAGGAGGTGTCTCTGATACCTTAGAAGAGAGATGCATAGCCATCCAGGTTCTTTGCCCTTCACGCGTTCTGGGTTTTAGGCTGCAGAAGCAGCCATGGAACCTCCTCTCTGTTTGCCTGGCAGGAATGGAAAATGTCACGTCTTCAGACACCTTCAATTGGCTATTTTATCAGGTTGGCCACAAGGTCCATCGTGGTCCTGTTATTTGCTAGATTAGAAGGGGTGAACTGGCTTCTTCTCACTTCCCTCTCAGCCATTCTTGTACAGAGGCCAAGAGAAAGTTGCGTTCCTTGGTGAGAAAGCCACTCCATTCCCAGTCCTGCGCCTTGGCCGGCCAACTGTCCAGTTGGCTGAAGGGACTTAAAAGTCCAGTGAAAAGTTCAAGCAGAGCGCAGACAACCACAGGACTTACATCAGTTACGCAGCGCAGGGCTAGGCCAGGGAGCATCTCCCCCGTCCCAAGTCCTGAAAAGTATGGCTGGAGACTCCAGAAGATAACAGTGAAAACCTTTTCGGGGCCCAACTGGGGGCTAACGCAGCAGCTTGTGACTCGGAGCCAAGCAGGAGTCAAGGCACATCACTGCCGCTGAAGATAGCAGCCTTTTTTTCGTGCTGAAAAAATACATTTTCATGCTGAACAGAACTTCCAGCAGACGGTCACCCTTCTTTTGGAAGCAGCAAAGGATTTCTCTGAAGGAGGCTGTGAAGAAGCCTGCAACAAATTGCTGTTCCATTCTATTATCCCAGCTTGTGGCAGTAACTCCTGCGATCCGACGTGGCTAGTCGAGCATCGAAGCGTGCGCTCATCTGGCCCAGGGCCCGAGCAGTCCCGCACCTCTGAATATCTCACTGAAAGGGGGAGCCACTGCGTTTCTCCTTCATAAGGAGGGCCTCCAAGGGAAGGAGGGCAGACTTCAACAAGGGAAGTGGTTGCCACGAAATCTGTCGTACCTGGTTATGCAACGGCATTACATAAAGCTGTTATATAATTGAAACATGGAGGCAGAAGCCACAACGCTGCACCCTTCCAAGATCCAATGAGCGGTGCAGTGTCTGCAAAGGGGATGACAGTGGAAGGGAGTTGTTCTGGCGGCTGCTAATGAGGGCTCCGTGGCTTAAAATAGACGCAGAGACAGATCAGGTCACCTTGACCCATGTTTCTCCTTCAGGAAGAAGACAGAGCCTACATTGAAATGGACCTGTCAGCAAAGAAAGGAAAGGAAAGGAAAGGAAAGGAAAGGAAAGGAAAGGAAAGGAAAGGAAAGGAAAGGAAAGGAAAGGAAAGGAAAGGAAAGGAAAGGAAAGGAAAGGAAAGGAAAGGAAAGGAAAGGAAAGGAAAGGAAAGGAAAGGAAAGGAAAGGAAAGGAAAGGAAAGGGCTAGAGGCGCAGGGGAGGTCGTTCGTATTCAGTGACACTGACTACTTGAGCATGGTCACAACCGCCACGTCTGCCAAGGGATGCACGTAAGAGATACACACAGGCTCCCAGGAGATTGCTTCATAATACCAATGGAAGAGAACATGTGTAGCTCAGGGTTGAACTGTGGAGTCCTTGGGGTTCTCTAAGCTTGGCGGTTTTCTTGCATCTGCAACGCCAAGGACTCCACAGACTTCGCAATGGCGCAGATGCTACGTCTCCTCCAACCAGATGAGATTCCTCAGACCAGAACCCAATATTGGAGGTCTCAAGCAGAGAAGGGTTTCCTTCATCACCCAGTTTTATTTACGCGTTGCATTTATGTCCCGTCTTCCCTCTGGGATTCAGCACAACAGCCCAGCGAGGTGGGTTGGGTCGCGAGAGAGTAGCTGGCCCAACGTTCCCCGTCTGAGAACAGGCCGGCATCCCGGATCTACTCCTTCTAACTGTATCATGTTTTGAACCGGAGATAATGAGATGGAGACGTTTTGCGCACAGAGCAAAGATTTATCTCGGTATCAGCTCCAGGCTGCTCCTGACTCTCGGCCAATTTATAGACCAAAAACAGCAGTTTGAGCAGGCTTACAAAGTGACACCCAACGGGAGGACCGAAGAACACCAGATATCCTTCCTGGCTTTCCCATGGCAACAACACTCGTTGCTTAGGAGAATTGTTATATTTGCCAAGTTGCATAATTAAGCTCTCACATGGTTTGCATTTCTTAGACCCCCAAATGGCGGGTTGGCCCCCGTGGAGAACATGGTCAGGTCTGAAGGGGGCTGCAGATTCAGCCTCTCCAGTCAGAGCAGGAGCAACGTCCAAACCTGCTCCTACTTTGCCTGGACAGTTCAACTGCCAGGACTGCTCTTGTGCTTGAATAAGTAAGGGGAGGGATGTCCCTGCACAAATGCGTTATTTTAGGGTGCTACAGCACCCCAAAGCTAGAACTTCTGCTGTAGACTCCCATGCCACCTCACCCTCCTGTCCTCTTGGCCAAGTCATTGACTGAGGGCTGAAGTTATCCAGCAAGTGCTAAATATAAGCCGTTGGCGTGGCTGTTTCGTAATGCAGGTGTGTTCGTACCTGGGTTGCAGGTAAGAAACTGCCCTCTCTTTGTCTTCGCAAGAGGAAAATATGATCACTAGATTTATAGGCACAGAACGGGAAGGCCATGGAAAACAGGAACGTCCAAACTGGTTTGTATGAGAAGTAGGCAGAATGTTTCCTTCTGGAAGCGTGCTGTTCTGACCTCTCTGGAAGTGACCCAGTATCAGCATGACCATTGGCAAGAGAAGGGGCAGGATGGCCTGTGTCAATGTCAGCACCCTTCCATGGAGGAGGATGGAATGAGTCGCTGTAGATTAGAACACACCATGTGATACACAACATAGTTTAATCAGAAAATAGATAAAGTGGGGATTTGCTACAAAGACCACGTCTGTCTTCCTCCTCCTGCAGAGTCTCTTCAATGGCGTCCAGCCCAACCACCAGTGGCTGTTCATACAACTTGCTTAACCCTGTCGAGTGGAGACCTATCTACTGGCTGCATTCCCACGATTAGTATTAACTCTGGCAATCTTTTTGTGGCTTGGGGTGTGCTGCAAGCCCATCCCTTTGGTCCGTTCATCGCACAGGACCCTACCCTCCTGTGAACCCTAAGGCGGGGAAGGGGCTAACTCCACACCCAAGCGAAGGCGCATCGTGTGTACGCAGCCAAAGTCATCTTTGGCTTTCAGACCTGGATACAAACAGCAGCACTCCCGAAGTAATTTATGCAAACGTATGGCCTTTGCATTTATTAACATCTTTTATCTTTTGACATGGTTTTTCATCCATTGAAGTTTGTCATCTACAGGGAAAAAACCTGCAACAGAACACAACCACGCACACACACACACATATATATCTCTCGCAAATACACACACATACATATATGTGTGTGTGTATATTAAGTTCCAATATCTAGTCTAGCTGTAGCTGCTGGACTCCCAGCTTCTCCCCCTGCCCCACTTTGACCAGGGACCAAAGAAAGGATGGCTGTCGTTTACAGGGTGGGGGGAATGTTTTATGTCTCCTCCATAGGGGTGACTCCATCTGTAATGGGGACAAAACAGGCGGGCACAGTTTTTATAGCCGAAGAGCTACGAGCTGTGCCGTCGAGTGAAACGATGGCTCCCAGGCGGCTGTGAAATCCAGCCCCTGGGAAGTCAGATATATTTGGTCCCTGAATGGTGACACGTCACCTTCCCCTCGAGGGCAGAAGTACCGTGTAATGTGCGGGGCAGGTGTGGGGATGCCTTCTTTGATGGGGGGGCGGCGAGGGTGAGCAACTGAGACGGGCCTGCCCAGGAAAGCTGGTGCTGGGCATCTGTCGGGCACCACGTGGGAAATGGAAAGCGCCAAGGCTGCGTTAAGACATGCGGTAAGTGATGATGTTAACTGAAAAGAGGCTTTTTCCCCACCCAGTCAGAAAGAGAACAAACCAACATCAAACTCCCACACTGTGCAGGGGGCAGTTAAAGTGCGGAGTCGTTCAGCTCCTGGCCACTCAGTGGTCTTGAAAACAAATCAAAGGGATGTGCAAAATGAACAACACCCCCGCGGCCCCTCAAACCCAGTTCCTGGGCTGGTCAGTTGTCCTGGCCGTTTCTGGGCCCGTTGGCTTGGGGAGACCCTGATGGAGCCGTTGGGTCAGCCGAACAGGCCGCCCGTCTTTTCTTGCTGTGCTTTGTTTGCCTCTCTGTCCACCAAGAGGACAGCCGAGCTCCTGGGGGGTCAGCAGGAAGAACTGTTGAGGCAAGCCAGAAACCGCTCTTGGGCAGCTGAGCTGGGGATCAGCAGCAGCCCCCGGCCCCCCAAGACCCCTTCTCACCCAGACAAATTTCCGTTGCCACCATAAATCCTGTTTTTATTCTTGGGACTGAGTTAGCCCCAGGAGAAGTTAACTAATTACCACCTGAAGGGAACAACAGACCTGGATATACTTTCTTTCTCTCTCTCACACACACACACACCACACATACACACCACATCCAGCACGTCTAAGGCTAGCAAAGCCACCACCTCTTCATTCTGCTGCCACAAGAGTACCTTACAGTATGGGGTTCAGGGGTAAAGCGTGGATTCCCAGCTGCACCATGCACAGCGACAAAGCCGATGGAGAAGAACTGCAGGACGAAGCCCCCCAAAATCAAAATAACCCGGGATGGAAACCAGAGCCAGACTAGGCCTCCTTGAGACCACCACGCAACTCCTTCCAACCTGGCTTGACGGAGGAAGAGAACGCCGAGATCAGTCCCTGGATCCACCAGCCAAGAAAAGTGAGGGGGGGAGGGAGAAGTGAAGAGAGAGGAGAGAGCATGAGTGTTTGGCGCTTCTGAAGAAGGACAATCCAAGCTAGTACCACACATGCAACTGGCAGGGACGGAGCAAAAAGAATAAGCACTACTGCAGACCGCAAGGGAGCAAGGCAGGTTGGAGCGGGAGAGACTTGGCTGCTCTAGCACTCTGTGGAACCCAGAAGATGACAACCTTCTGGAAAAGCATGGAAGTCCAGTCAAGGCTGGGCCCCAATCTTTGTCCGTCGCTCGCTTCCTTTCTGCGGCCCAATGGACACGCGTAAGGATGACTCCTCCGTATGTAAATGTGGAGAACGGTGGGCTGCTGTGCAGAAAAAGAGCTGGACCAGTCAGGGGCTAGGAAAAGAGTTGTACAAAACAGTCCAGGGGATGGGCGGGCAGATTTTGCCCCAGAAGAGCCCAAAGCCCTCAGCAGGTTCAGCGTCCAGAGGCGGCGTCTGCCCGGTGCTCTTCTGCTTAGAAAACGCAGGCGGTGGTCCGGCTGTGGAGCTGCGGGCTACACATCCGTGGATAAGTAGAGTGCGTTGTGTTTGAGCTCGGCAAAGGAGACGGGCGGATGCTGCAAATAGTATAGCAGCACCTGGACCTGGAGGAAAAAACCCAGAACGTGAGCCAAAACGGGGATTCACACGACGCTCCCACCCGTTCAGTGTCTTAGGTGGAAGGAGCTCGCCATAGATGGGTGGGTCTCTGAATGGGGTCTCTTGAAACGCGATGGATTAAGAGCACGGCAGAGACCGAATCCAGCTTTTGGAAAAGCTCAAGACACCCAGGAGCAGTTCAAGCAGTTTGGTATTGAAACTAGCCCGTCAAGCTGCCATTCCCATTAGAGGTCCTTGAGGGAGGGAGCAGTCGGTTGTGGCCAGGATCAGTTTCTGCCAAAGAAATAACCCTGTTCTTCCAAGTTTGCAGCAGAGGTGAGCTACTGCAAATCACGAGGAGTCAGTGCTGAGGCCGTCACCGATTTCCTTGGGCCAGGTGAATATTTGTTCTGGAAATTCTACTCAGAGGCGATTGGACTGATTTGATTTGAATGTCCCCAAGGAATCTCTGGATCAGTTCTCAGCACTTGTCTGGGTGCCTTCATATCTAAAGGTCAGGAACATCCAGTCCCCACTTGTTGACTTGATCTGACAAGCCTCTGGGGCAGGCAGAAAAGTACTTTTTCTACATTAATTCAAAAACCCAATTTGATTCAAAAGTCTGAATTGAATTAAATTGTCTTTCTGAATCAATTTGAAAGTCCAAATTGGATTTGGGGTGATTCGCAGAGTCTAAGAGGTACACACAAAGCATTTGGGGCATCTTCTGGTAGCAGCTAGCCAGCTTTTTCTGTCTTCTGTGGACTGAATTTTTTTTTTTTAATGTATCATATTTAGGCTCTATTACTAAATAATGGTCATCTCTCCCATTACGTCTGCATGCAAACTCTCCAAATATGTTTGTATGCAAAGAGTAAACATGGGCTTGACCTGCAGCGTTCAAATAAAAAGCAGATAGGCTGCCCAACACGAGAAACACACCAAAAAGCAAGTTGATGTTATGATTTGCTGGGCTTGCAAACTGCAGGGAGGAAGCTGAGATGACTCAGAGTCTGGTGTGAATTTCGTGGATTTTTTTTGCAAACGGGAGGCTTGTTTTCATACGATGAGAAACAGAACTTGCTGCTTGGCACCAGGTACCTTTCCAAGAAAGAGCACCCAGTGGAGGCTGCTGGCCTGGCCTGACCCAGCACGAGGGCCCTTCCCCACCCACCGCCAGGTTGTCAGGTCTGCAGTGCTCCTTCCCCGTACCTGCGCCATAACATCGTGAGACCAGATGTCCGAGGCCAGACTGAGATGCCCTTTGCTCTCCGCTTCAGAAGGTCTCAACAACGTCGGGCCAAACACAGTGGCCAGATTGTGCAGGGACATTTTGTTGATGGACTCCTTCTCGGCAACCCTGTTGCAACAAAGCGGGACCCTTTCAGAGCACGCAAGAGTCTGGCGCTGCCTTCAAAGCCGACGTGGCCCGCGCGGGCTTTTGCCCCAGCCGAGCCCAGTTGGAACAGAACGGTTTTCTCACATGTTCCCAACCGTGTTCCTCTCCTCTTGTCATTCCCACACCAGAAAGTTGCACAACTTCTACTGCAACCCTTCTCATGCCTGCCTTGATGGGGTACTGTCCCACTTTTTTTGCAGTTTCGGCTCTGGAAATCTCCCAGCCCCCTTCCCCAGATGCTACTGCTGACCATCCTGGGTCAGAGCCAGATCCTGCCTGGAAGCCAGCGTGAAGATGCCGCTACGCTGGGAGACAGCGGCGTGCATTTTTTTCCTGCCCCCTCTCCCAACAGCAACAAGCCACACAGATGTGGCCCAGCCGCACAGATGTGGAACAGGGCATGTCTGCTTCCCTGACCAAATAGATTTTCCTTCCAGGCCACGTTGATTCTCACCCATCCCCACTCTTCCGTCGCTTGCTGTTCCTCATTCCACCTCTCCTCAGTGAAGCCAAAGAGAGGGAGGTGAGTGTGCAAACTTCCAGTCCCCAATTCCAAAATTCCCCACAGTGTGTTTTTGGCCAGCTCGGCACTCCACCAAACCGCAGCTCCTCAGGCGGTTCTGTGTCCTCAGCAGAAGACGGTGAGGCAAGCGAGGACAATGGGGTTCGACATACAGCCGAGTCCCAAGGGGGGGAGGACCGCTCAGCCCCGGTGCCCCCCCCCGAATCCCCTTTTCATCTCTCTGTCAACAGTGATGCAGAAATGCCCTCGGGCAGAATAGAAAGAGCATCTGGTGGAATTTGTAACCCCCAAAACTGTAAGTTCCTCTTTCCCAAAGGCAGGGAAATTTCTTTGGTCAAACGCCCTGAAATCTTTTGGGGGGGAGGCAGTTTAGGAGGTGTCCCACGTGATGCAAAAAAAGGCTTCCATTCCCCAGGCCAACAGGAAACGTTTCCCCCCCCTTCCGCTGGCTTTTGAAATACACGCTTACCAGGTTTTTTTTTTTAAGTATTGCTCCTGGTTTTTTTTAGATCTTGACTTATTTTTATTATGCTGGCCAAAGTTTGTTACGTTTATACTCACTTGTTGATGTCTTTTATTGTCCCAATAACTTGCTGGCAATCCTGGGAACCTTTTGGGTTGAAGCGTGGGACCGAGAAAGAGGGTGGGCGAGAGAAATAAATGGAAGCTCTGTTCTCCCCGGAGGGGGAAACTCACCGTTTCAAGTGTTCCAGCAGAAAGAGGAATGTGATGAGGTTGGGGTCGGGAAGGGAACGTAGAAGGTGCAGCATGCAGTTTTCCTTGGCCGAGGGGTCCGAAAGCGCTAGAAACAAAACCAGGTGGAAGTGAGTTGGGCCCCGGTTCTCTCCTGCCCACCAATGTTCTGCAGAGGACTTTAGCGGCGTGCCAAACACTGGGCTGCAGATCCCACGCTCACTCACAAGCTTCTCCACCTGGACGGGTGCGATCTGGGTGCAGGTCCCCAGTTTCTGAGCAGCCTGGGGCCAACCCCCTTGTCTCAGTTGGTGTCAGGTCACATCAGGAAACAGACACCCCAAGAAAGACTAGATCTCGACTGGCATCAGCTATAACGACAGATTCTTGCAAGCCTGGCAGCGTTTCCCTTCCCTCCCTCTGACGCCAAAGAGAATCAAGGCAGAGCGATCTTGAGTTTCTTTCTTACCCTTCCTGTTTTCCTGGGCGAAGCTCATATTTCGCTAACAGTTGCCACATATTTTTCCCAAGGTCATCTCTACACTCCTCTGCAGTTTGCCTCCCATGGGTGTTGGGAAGAGGAATCTAGATCAGGGCAGGCTGAAAGGCTTTCCTCGGTCTGCAATCCTGGCTTCTTGGATCAGCAAGAAGCCGGCAGGGCCCTGCTGCACCAGGGAAGGGTCCCCCACAGGATGCGATTGGCCTTTGGGCCCATTTTTTGCACATACTCTCCCCACCCTGGAACCATCAATCCCACTGTCAGAAATCCAGGGTAGTTTTTTCACCCTACCAAGCCAGAAAATGTACAATAAAATTGTTGTGTAGCCTCTAGAATTTTAGGAAGGAAAAAGAATGCCACCTTCTTTTCAAAATGCCAGCTGTCCTCAGCCCGATTTTCCATCTTCTTGGATTTTCCTTTTTTAGTACTGTTTTTAAATTTTAGATGTATTATGTATTTTATGTAAATTTATGGTTTTAATGTTTTTGTACATCGCCCAGAGTCCCCCATTAGGGGGAAATGGGGGGGGAGAAATTTGATAAAATAAATAAATAAAAATAAATAAAATGGAAAAAAAGCCTCAGAAAATTACAGTCCCAGACACATGTAAGGCCACCCTCCCGCTTCACACTACTGCCTGCTTTGCGTCATTCCCCATCCTCAGCAGCACTTGCCCTGTCTTTCAAAGGGTACATGTGGGCCCTTGCCACCCCGTAATTCTCTCCCCCTTGCTAACTGTTTGCCCCATTGGAGATGGTGCCTTGCTGCAGGGACAGCCAGCCACTGAGTTTCATCCCCCCCATCGCCACCACTGGAATCTCCTTTGCTGCTGAATTCATTGCTGGAAAAATGGGGCATGATACAGATTAAATTGTACGGGTAGTTCTCACTTAACGACCATTTGTTTAACTACGGTTCAAAGTTACAACAGCCTCAGAAAAAGTGCTTTATCACCTGTACTCACACTTACAACTGTTGCAGACCACCACACCACCCCCATGGTCACATGACTGCAACTTGTGAACTTTTTTTACGATGGTCGTTAAGCAAATCACCATAGTCCTTAAGCAAATCACATGGTTGTTAAGCAAATTCTGGCAAAAAAAGTCCATGGGAGAAGCTGGCTTCACTTAATGACCATGTGATTCACTTAATGACTGTCATAAAAATGGGGTTCCGCTCATATAGTGATTTGCTTAATGACTGTCATAAAAATCGGGTCTAGTCATGTAGTGACTCGCTTAATGACAGCCCCGCTTAACAACCAATTTTCTGGTCCCTTACAGTAAAGGAAAACTGTAAAGACGGGGGCCAGAAATTAGTTCACTGGCCTTTACCTTAAGGGAAACATTTTGAGTGCCTCAGAAATCGAATTCAAGACCAACATCCAATCTAAAACAATTAAGCTGCTGGAAGCAGAACTGAAGTCATGCACACAGGGCTTCTGCCCTCTTTCCCACTCTGTGGATCACAAGTGCATTCCAGACCTAATGGTGCAGCCAACCAAGAGGCATGAACTTGACTAACTGTAATTTTACTTCGTTTCGGGGAACTTAATGCATCGCAGAGTGCCAGCCGGGTGGGTTACTTTACGATTCGGTGGGTTGAGCAAACCCGCAAAATGGCTTAATTCTGGACACACATCCAGCGTACGGATTTGGGGGATCTGTGCCAGATGCTGGATGGAGGGGAGGAGGGAGCAGGGGACCAACCACCAATTCAAGAACCGGGATGGGAAACAAGATGTCCACAGTGCCTACAGATGTTGTTGACTGAATGCAAGCCAACCCAGCTTTGGAGTAAACAG